TCTTATCAGAGTTTTGCAATGTCATTTCAAGTAAGCTTTATGGTAGGTTTACATTTGAAAATTGTCGCTTTGATGCAGTTTTGTTTCTTATCAAGTTTGTATGTGTTTGTATTTCAATGTCAACTTTGTGATGTTCGTACAAAAGCATTCATTAAAACTTAGTAATGGTGTTGTGTTTCAATTTCTAGCAATGTCATTATGATTTCAAGTAAGCTTTATGGTAGGTTTACATTTGAAAATTGACGCCTTGATGCAGTTTTATTTCTTATCAAGGTTGTACATGTGTGAATTTCAATGTCAAGTTCGTGATGTTCGTTCAAAAACGTTCACGAAAACTTTGTAATGGTGTTTGGTTTTCTTATCAGAGTCTTGCAATTGTCATTTCAAGTAAGCGTTATCATGGTAGATTTACATTTAAATACTGGGAGTGCTGCACTAGAGATCTCAAAACACACTAGTTACTGTTTCCCTGTAGTGCTGGATAAATCTAAACCTGGTGAATAAATGCTCATGGAGTCTACATTTGTACCTTGTCTGTGTAGAAAAATGACAGTTTTTATCTTTCGACACCTGGAGTAACAATTTATATATTTCCCATTGAAGTTTGCCAACTAAAGGCATTTCCACCACGGCACATAGAGTGGAACTCGTTGCCACCAAGCACAGTTGGGGCATCATCACTAGAAAGCTTTAAACAACTCCTGCAACTTAATGTGCAAAGATTGAGTGTAACAAGTCGTTCGGTGTGATATAGCTAGCTGCCGCCACGCCAAAGGGCGGTTATACCGGCTATACAGATACAGAAGCTGGTGTGTTACACCGAAGGGCGGTTATACCGGCTATACAGATACAGAAGCTGGTGTGTTACGCCGAAGGGCGGTTATACCGGCTATACAGATACAGAAGCTGGTGTGTTACGCCGAAGGGCGGTTATACCGGCTATACAGATACAGAAGCTTGTGTGTTACGCCAAAGGGCGGTTATTCCGGCTATACAGATACAGAAGCTGGTGTGTTACACCGAAGGGCGGCTATACCGGCTATACACTGATACAGATATAGAAATGCTAATGTAGGCTATTGAGTCTATGGAGAAAAATGACAGGTTTTTATCTTAAAACACCAGGAGTAACAATTTATGTATTTCCCGTCAAAGTTTTCCAACTAAAGGCATTTCCACCGCAGCATTACTAGTTAAGTGCAGTTTGACAGTAATTCCCAGGACTGCACCAAATCCTGCTGTTAAGTACTTAAGAGCCTTGGCAAATTTTCAGCAGTGTCGGTGGAGTTGCAGAGTTAGGCAGAATGCACATGTTGTTAGGCATGGTGACTGTGTAGTTAGGCAAAACTTACACCAGTTCCACTGGATGGCTATTCAGTACTCACCAAGCTGAGGGTTAACATCTGTGTCCATAATATCACCAGGGTCCATAATATCGCCACCTTGAGAAAAAGTGTGGTTAAAGATATTTTTACTGCAACATACCCTAGGTACAATGTATGTACATTTGAGGTGTGCAGGAGTGCATACCAAAAGTATGCTGCAGTAAAAATATCTTTAAGCACACTTTTTCTCAAGGTGGTGATATTATGGACCCTGGTGATATTATGGAGTCGGACACAGATGTTAGGCTTTTGCTAATTTTTCAATAATTTTATTGGGCTTTCTTCTTGTACTGGAATCTTTTCCATCAGGATCAATCCAATGGAATAAAAAATGAAGAGGCGAATCTAAGAACCAACGAATGAAATTGGTGCTGCCTTATGTATTGGGCAGCATAACTTCACCCCTGCACCAATCCAATAGGATATAAAATGAAATTTACTTGGACAGAACTTTGGCAACTTTCCATGTAGACCTGCCTTTAGTAATCTCCAAGCAGATCTTTCGCTCGCTACAAGATAGCATTAAATTGGCCACAAGACAGTATCAAATTGGCAGGGCAGTAGCAACACACTGCCACTTTCCTGATGGAAATTAAAAGATACCGGTACAAAAACGAACTGATAAGAATGCCGGCCCTACAAAGACATAAAAAAAATTAGTGTAAGCCTGAAGAATAGGCAAGACAGTAAACAGCGAGCAGATTATTATTGGAATGAGCAGAGCACTTTGGACTAATGTCTCTGGCTATTCACAGCTTAGAGGTACATATCCAATATTTTGTCAAAAACATCTCTGTTACATAGCGGATCATAATGAACCCCAGCGGGGGTCTTCACGCTTCGTTAAAAGTGTAAAAATCTCAGGATTTATTCCAAAGATCTCAATATTTTAGACGAAATCTTGAGATCTTATGAGACAATCTCAAGATCTTTCAGAAAATCTTAAGATGAAAACGAGAGGTCTCAAGATCTTTCAAGTTGTTTTTAAACCATCTTGAGATTTTTTCATAGCATCTCGATATGCTTTAAAAATATCAAGTTTTTTTTTAAAGATCTCATGATTTATAAAGTAATCTTGAGATTTTTAAAGCATCTCGAGATGCTATGAAAAAATCTCAAGATGCTTTGAAAACAACTTGGAAAGATCTTGAGACCTTTCATTTTCATCTTAAGATTTTCTGCAAGATCTTGAGATTGTCATGAAAAATCTCAAGATTGTCTCATAAGATCTCAAGATTTCGTCTAAAATATTGAGATCTTTGGAATAAATCCTGAGATTTTTAAACTTTTAACGAAGCGTGAAGACCCCTGCTGGGGTTCATTATGATCCGCTATGTAACAGAGATGTTTTTGACAAAATATTGGATATGTACCTCTAAGCTGTGAACAGCCAGAGAGATTAGTCCAAAGTGCTCTGCTCATTCCAATAATAATCTGCTCGCTGTTAGTAATATTTCTGCAGACAATGAGAAAATGTAGCAGTAATATTTGTGGAATGTAGCAGTAATATTTGTGGAATGTAGCAGTATTGTTTGTGGATGTAGCAATAATATTTGTGGAATGTAGCAATAATATTTGTAGAATGTAGCAGTAATATTTGTGGAATGCAGCAGTAATATTTGTAGAATGTAGCAGTAATATTTGTGGAATGTAGCAGTAATATTTGTAGAATGTAGCAGTAATATTTGTGGAATGTAGCAGTATTATTTGTTGTGACAATGAGAAAATGTAGCAGTAATATTTGTGGAGAAATGTAGCAGTTATATACTTGTGGAGAAATGTAGCAGTAATACATGTATGTAGAATGTAGCAGTATTATTTGTGGAGACAATGTAGCAGTAATATTTGTAGTGACAATGAGAAAATGTAGCTCCAGTAATATTTCTGCACACAATCTGAAAATGTATGTGGTAATCTGCAGAATGAAAATGATGTCATTCGTCATTAATTATCCTCCCCATTTTTCCCTAACGAATCGTTAATTGATTTGCTTAAGAGCCAGAACGGAAGATGAGATGCGTGAGAAATAATAATGTGCCTGCGTTTGTGAACAGCACTTTAAACTCCAGAATCAGCAGGAGCCCCCCATAAATATAGGGGGTCTGTATGGGGGGATTCTGACACTTACATGTAAACTCCCAACTCGGCAGGCATAAATCTAGAGGGTCTGTACGGAGGGATCCTGACACTTAAACTTCCCAGTCAGCAGGAGCCCCCCATAAAATAGAGGGTCTGCATGGGGGGATTCTGACACTTAAACTTCCCAGTCAGCAGGAGCCCCCATGAATATAGAGGGTCTGTATGGGGGGATTCTGACACTTAAACTTCCAATTCAGCAGGAGCCCCCCATAAATATAGAAGGTCTGTATGGGGAGATTCTGACACTTAAACTTCCCAGTCAGCAGGAGTCCCCCATAAATATAGAGGGTCCGCATGGGGGGATTCTGACACTTAAACTCCCAGTCAGCAGGAGCCCCCCATAAATCTAGAGGGTCTGTATGGGGGGATCCTGACACTTAAACTTTCCAGTCAGCAGGAGCCCACATAAATATAGAGGATCTGCATGGGGGATCCTGGCAACATTTAAATGTAAATGAGAGAATGAAGCAGTTATATGTGTGGACAAATTGTGAAAACGTATGAGCATTATTTCTGGAGAAAGTGAGAAAATGTAGCAGTAATATTTATGTCCTAAGAGGGTCTACATGGAGGGATCCTGGCAGGAATTTTCTTCATAAATCCAAGAACCAACAATACAACTTAGAGTGGCCCCAGTTTCGCTGTCCTCTAACTTTCCTGTGGTAATGAATCCGTTTATTTTATACGTGTCAAACTTATTAACTCTCAGCAGACTGTGGGTTAACGAGTCGTGTAAATTAAATTTGCCATTAAAATTGGGGAACGACTTTAGTCGGTGCATGGCCTGTCCAGGGCTTCAGGTCCCTGTGCACGAAAGCTGGCAAAATGCCTGAGGATAGTCCACAACTGGTCTGAACTGGTCTGCTACATGTACATGTACAATGTATCAAGTTGGCCCTAGATATCTACATTTGTTACATCAGTGTCAAACTTATGAAGTCAGGGTTGGTAAATTAGATTTGTCATTAGAATTGGGGAACGACTTTAGTTGGTGCATGGCCTGTTCAGGGCTTAATGTCAATCCAGTGAATAGTTTCATCAGGTTGGTATGCATTGAGTAAAGAGACTCTTTTTACAGAACCAGGTCTTTTATTCAGCCGACGTTTCAGTGACCATCTGTCACCTTCCTCGAGAATTGTGACTGGTCAAAAAAAAGTTTTTCCATTTTTTTTTAATTTACATTCATTTGTAGTTTACTGATTAAATTATCTACCTTAATCTATCTATATTCCTAATCATGATCAATTTATAATACATGTAACATCCATTGCAAGGTGTACATATTTTCTGTTCTAACTGTATCTATTAGTGGCAAAGTTTTATTTTAGTCGAGTGTGTTCTATTTAAGCCAGGAGCACGCACACACACACACATAAGAGGTTACTTACTTTAATATACACAACAGATTTTGCAAATTGATATTCTTACAGATTGGTTTAGACTAAGTTGCTTGCTTTAAAATTTGTTATCTTAGATTCAGAAGTTCTGGAATATGCTGACTTTGTCCTCCATATGATTAGTTACTACCAGCTGTCCCTGTGTTGCCATGGCAACAGCCCATGGCTCCTTCATGTCTGTAGTGATGTGTTTGAGGAATTTTCCTGTCTTGTCAAACATCTCCACACGGCTGTTTCCATGGTCTGCCACGATGATGTTCCCTGCCCTGTCTGTACAGATGCCACTAGGTTGCTTCAGCTGACCTTCACCTCTTCCCCTGCCTCCAAACTGGAACAGAAACTGTCCGTCCTCCTTGTACACATAGACACAGTGGTTCTCCCAGTCTGACACAAGAATGTTCCCTTCCCCGTCCACAGTGATGTACTCTGGGCGCTTCATTCTCTGCTGCTGACCCACAGTTCTCACAAGTGTTCCATCTGGCCTGAACACTAAAACTTGACCATGTTTGTTGTCCCAGTCTACTGTGGTTTGTGTGATGAGGATGTGGTTCCTCCTGGTGTCCACGGCAACTGCTCTGGGACACCTTTTTTTCTGTAGGTCAGACTTCCTCAGCACCCTGCCCTGTTTGTTGTACTGCACAGCAAACCCAGCAGATCTAGAGCCTGTGTAACGCACCACCCACAGGTTCCCCTCCCCGTCCATGGCCACATCAAGTGGGTGTATCTCGTGTCCACCTGACACGACTGTTGGGAACTGTCGGACAAACGTTCCCTGCAGGGTGAAGACTTGGATTCTCTGGTTCCCACTGTCTGCTACAAAAATCTCCCCTTCATCTGACACTGTAACACCACTTGGACACATGAACTGACCTGTTCCTGATCCCAGTTCACCAAATGTCACCTTCTGAGGCTGATGCTCCCCTTGCCTTTGGTTACCATGGTGATGACCTGTGCCCCTTGCTGCAGGTGCTGCTGGGATAGGTGCAGATGGGAGAGACTGGACCGTCACTTGTCCCAATACTGGCACGGGGGTGTCTGTGGGCTGAAAGACAGCAGGCTGGGTTTGTACAGGAGTTGGTGCTGCTTTTCCTCTGTACTTTCCTACCACCTCTGTCAGAGCGGTTTGCTGACTGAGAATCTCGACCCATCCCTGCTGCAGTTCTTGTTCTGCTCGATCACAGGCAGCAGACAGTTCATTGACATCTGCCAACACTCGGTCCCTTTCAGTCTGTACTCTGTCCACGTTTTTTGTGTGGTTTTCTTCTGATTCAGACAAGAGGTGGTCTCTTCTCTTGGCCAGTTTCTGCACCATTTGGTTGTAGGCCTGAATGATGCTGTTGTCTCTCTGCTGTTTCTTTTCATTCAGGGTTTTCTCTTCTTCCCTCAGACTTCTGAGGAAGCTAAAGTAACTTTCCATGATATTTCTTCCATCGTTGATCAAGGCCTGGACTGTGGAACTCCTTTCTTGTGCAGCTTTTTTGATGGTTGTTGTGAGATGATCATCATGGGCCTCTTCAAAACACTGTTCGCAAATTGGAATCTGACATTGTTTACAGAACTGTTTGAGTACCTCAGAAGGGTGAGAACTGCACCTGTTTGCAGACTGGGGTTGCTGCCTTGTTTCCCCTGTCAGTGTAGCCTGGTTTTGGAATCTTTCACACATATTTGCTGCCATGAGATTGTCTGGCAAACCTGCGACCCCCTGGGGTGGCAGCCTGACCTGCCGACGACAGTTTGGGCACTGGAGGGGTAGTCGCCTACTTGCATGGTCCTGTAGACAGTCCTGACAGAAGGTGTGCTGACAGGGCAGCACCTTGGGCCTGGTGAACAGCTCCAGGCAGATGCTGCAGGACAGTTCCTCACGGATTTGTGTCCCCAAACTTGACGGTGCAGCCGCCATGATTGTTTCCTGCTGATGTGGCAGCCTCGCCCCAAGTCAAAGTCCAGCTTACGTACATGTTTGCTCAGGGCCACTCAATTAGTTGGTGAGTTGGTTTAACCCATACACGGTTAGTGTTTAATGGGCTATGTTAAAATCTTCGGAAACGATGCCAAGCCAAGACAATTATAATACAAATACAGTAAGTATTTACTAGGCAAAATAACACCCCTTTATTGTGGAGTCAGAATTTATTAATAGCATTATAAACACCCCAGAGGTGTGCATTGGTTTAACCCGTAACCCATCAGTAAGTATATAATGAGCAATATAAACACCTTATTGAAGTATGAGTTGGTCAGTATGTATTCAATAAACAATATAAACAACATCCCTTTACTGAGGTGTGAGTTGGTTTAACCCATCATTAAGTATTTAATAAGAGCACGTCGGCAGAACGTACTGCGCCTGCGCAGAACCCTGGATTTTCAAGGTATTCGGTGGATGTTTGATCAACGTTGCAATTTAGAATTTTGCTTGTTGCAGACGATATTTTTTCCGACATAACATTTGAAAACTACTGTCGGAATGTTAACCTTATACGAGCAAATACAACCTTATATGAGACGTTCTTCTGAAGTGCTATGTACAATGCATTACGGGTTTTGCGCAGGTGCAGTACGTTCTGCCGACGTGCTTTTAATAAGTGATTAAACAGCCAGACAGGTGCAGGTCATGTGACTATGATACCGTAACTTGGCGTAAGGTGTTTTATTTGCACTGTATTTCTGGTAAACTCTCCGCTGGTAATTTAGATTTGTCATTAGAATTGGGAAATATCTAACTCCTGTGCACTAAAGCTGGCAAAAGGCCTGAGGATAGTCCACAACTGGTCTGAACTGGTCTGCTACATGTACAATGTATCAATTTGGCCCTAAAGTGATACGTTTTGTAGATATAAAGGCCTAAGGATAGTCCACAACTGGTCTGAACTGGTCTGCCTGCGAAGCACAGACTGCTACATGTACATGTATCAATTTTGCTTAAGTGCTACATTTTGTAGATATTCTTACATCAGTGTCAAACCTACAAACTAAAGGCTGGTAAATTAGAATTGGAAAATAAGTTCTGGTCTGAACTGGTCTGCCTGCATAACACTGCTACATGTACCATGTATCAATTTTGCTTAAGTGCTACATTTTGTAGATATGCCACAACCTAACTTTAGGCCACACCAATTTAATTTGTTGGTTCTCGGATTTTTTCAGAAAAAAATGAAGCGACAGGGCGAAAAAATAAAAAATAAAAACAAGGTCTAGGCATCCCATTATAGGCTTAAATGCTACGGAATGAGTCATGAAGTCAACACAAAAGGCTGGGTTAAAACTTAAACATTGAATTTTGACTTTTAATCAACCACTGCAATGATAGATGGGAAAACTGTAACAAGTAGGAGAAAAGGACTTTCCTTCAACTGTTGGGGGCAAAATATGAGCATTTTTCAGTTGATTCAGGACTAGAATCAATTTTATTTTTTTTTTGCAAATCAGAAAAAAACAAAGAGGCGAATCCGAGAACCAACAAATTAAATTGGTGT